CAAGCCAATGTAGAAAGAAATGCCTGCTCCTTGTGTGCAACTTACAAGATTGTCTTTGAAATGTGAAAAGCCTAGAAGATAATTCTTTGTATACTGTATACTGTACTTTACTGATTTTAAAGTGTGAATCCAAACACTAAGCTCTAAAATGTTATTGTAATTTAAAAAGTTATTGTCTACAGCATTTATTAAAATGTTCTCCTGCCCTGAAGATGTGTTTTCAGGCCCCTCCCGTTATGTGGTGCAGCGCTCTGTCCCTGTTTCCAAATTGTTCTCCTGCATTGTCTCCCTGTTACACAGGCTGTATCAACACACATTGCGCAGGTATGGTCCTCTGTAAACCTGCCTTGAGCATATACACAAACGGTAGCTGCAAAAATGCTGCATTTGATGAGCAGCACCGAGATCCAAAAATTAATTGGGGGGGGGGGAATGAAAACTAGCATTTTGATTTGAAAAAAAAGTGGTAGTTTATGATATGGTACTTCAAAAAACTTTAATTCATTGAGGTAGGGTTTACTTGTACATATTATAGACTTCCAAATTAGACCTTCTTTATGATACACAGTACTTCAGAAAACTAAATATCCCTGAGGTAGGGATTACTTGAACATATTATAGACTTCTAAATTAGAGCACCTTCTTTTTATTTGTCTTGAATCTTACTCCAGGTTGACATTTTTCCTCGGTTAAAAGTATGTTTAAAATGAAGTTTATGTTTTGTTTTTTACCATTTACATGCTGTCTTGTTTCCTACATTTTACAACTGAAAACTAAAGTCAGGTTGGTCTTAATAACTTTAATTTCACAGACTTGATGTAACTTGAAAGGTATCACTGTAATGTTTTTCTTTCACTCAAGGCTCATCTTGAAAGAACAAAACAAGATTTTCTGGTTGTAAATTTCTTGTCTTGACATTTCACCTCCTGTCATTACCATTCATTATTAAGCTTTTCAAAGCAAATGAAGTGAAGATACATATTGTGCTTAATGCTCACTTCTTGACATAATGGTTTACATTTAAGCCCCTTTTCTTAGTTTGCTTTGTACACCTTCATAATGGTTGTGAATTGTGTTTGTTCTGTAAAGGTTTTGTGGCTTTAGATGCAAAGAAACCAAATCTGGACAAATTGAGCCTCTCGCCATGGCTAGATACTTACTAACAGGTGTCTAAGACATGTACCATAACACATATATTATCCTTTTTCTTTTGCCAGGTAGTGATGACCATAATAAAGGTCACTGTTTAACCCACTAATTACCACAAACTCTACATTCCAGCAATAGGCCATAAAACTTCTGCCTGTCTTTCATTTTGGATCCCTGTTCTGCCACTCTTTCTCCCTGATGGACTGAGACTAAGAGTCTCAGTCCAGGAGACTTTGCTGGGAGAAAATCAGAGTGGCTTCCAGGGACCAATCATTCAGATTGGCGAGAGAGATAATGTGGCAAAGCATTGTACTGAATACTACTTTATTGTTCCAATTTCTGTCTATTTCTCTGATGGATAGCAGAGTGACAGTATTGGACATCATTGTTCCACAGTGTGTATAGTTTTAATAAAGTAAGAGTCATTTTTATGTTTTAACTACTTGCTGACCAGGGTATTAAACCTCCTTCCTGCCAAGGCCATTTTTCAGTATTCAGCACTGCGGTACTTTGACTGACATTTATTCAGTCATACAACACTGTACTGAAATGAATTTTATACCATTTTTTAGGGACAGAAAGAGCTTTCTTTTGGTGGTATTTAATCACCACTGCAGATTTTATTTTTTACTATATAATGAAAAAAGTACCGAAAATGTTAGGGGAAAAAAAATCTGCTTTCCCTACTTTATGTTAGAAAACATTTATCAGCACCCCATTTTTTTGGGTAAATAGACACCAAACATGTCAAGCTTTAAAATTGCGCGCGCCCGCGAAATTGCAAAAAATTACCATGCCTAAAATTGGCCATAGGCGACACTTTAAAAGCTTTTACCAATCATCAGTTTAGTGTTATCGGTGATTAATGGCCCTTAAATTATTATTGCTATTGCGGCAATATGTAGCACGTGTGGCGCAATCGTTGTTTTCGCACGTAGGCACTCCCGATGCGTATATTCATTTAGTCTGTGCACGCGGAGAGGCGGGGGACTGAAAACTTTTTGGGGTGTTTTTTATTGTTATTTTTTTTAATAGTTTACACTTAACTTGATTACTATCACATAGGGGGCTAAAAAGCAAGAAATTACAGCTAAAGGCGGAAGTGATGTAATACACATCGCTTCCGCCTTTAGAGAGAGAAGGAGGTGGTGGGGAATGCTGATCTCTCCTCCTCAGTACAGAGAGCCGCTGTGCCAGTGTTCTTGGTCCGCAGGGGGGACAGTGGTGCCCGGGATAACCGATCGACTGGCTGTAGAGTCGGCCGAACGCTTGTATATAACAGCCGGTAACAGCTGTACACATTCCTGGCGGGATTCTGCTCGCGCGCCCGCAGAAAAAAAATCACGTAAATGTACATCCACCCGCCGGGAAGCATCCGCCATCCGCCCATATTTTTACCATGGGCGGACAGCAAGGTGTTAAAATATATTCCTAGGGCTAGGGTTTAGAAATAAAGTGTATGTATAACCCAGATTTTTTTTGGATAGCGTAGAGAAGTGTTGGAACCTCTTTCAGTTTGTTTTTTCAGTCTGTGTTTCATTAGGTAAGTTTCCCTTCACTCCCTATCCTGGAAACGTTACAGGAAGTGAGAGGAAATCCCCTAAGGAAGACTTTGGCCTGCATTGGGTTTTGTACCAATGCAGTAACCTTGAGCAATTTGATGAATTTTGTTTTGGTTGTTGTAGGTAACCCCTCCTTACACACAGCTTATTGTTGATGGCCCTGTTCATGGCATATCAAAGTATCCTAAAGTTTAGACCTGCAGTATATTATAAATCCAAAGGCTTTCGTTGCCATCCCTCATACAGAATCCCTTATAGAGGAAGTCAGGATTTAGTAGGATGAGTGCTTCATTGTGGCTGGATCGTCAATATGAACATCCTCTTGCATGCAGTGGCACCTAAAGAATGTACAATATTTGTCAGAACAATAGTACTTATCCTAAAAATATATATTACTTCTTAAGGTTTTGTATTAAAGTAATTTATGACTTTAGACACTTAAAGCTTACCTCAATTCTACTTTTAAAAAACGTTTTTCCTGTGATTTTCTGGGGACACCAGGGTATTTACAATATGTGTAAATGAGCCGTAAAAATCTTGGTCTTCACATTCACTGCCTGTCTGTGTCATATGTCATTGTGATTGTCTCAGTAGAAAATTGTCTTAGAAAAAGTTTTCTCACGTGTATGTGCATTTTTTGATTGTATTTTTTGCACAGCATCCTTTGTAAAAGGCTAAAGCCTTTAAGCATTAGAAAGCTTTCAAAATCTGTATCTTCAAAATAAGTAGTCTTGTAGCCAGTTACAGAAGCACTACAGAGCATTGCAGTACACTCTAATTGATATGATATACTTTGTTCTTTGTAGATTACTACTAAGACTATTTATTCTTACAAATATGGCCAAGTATACAATTAAACATTTGAGAAGAACAAAATCAGTAAACTAACAGCTTTAGGGATATCTGACAGTATAAGCTTTAGGTTTTGTCCTTCCAACACTGCCTGAAATGTCTCCACATCTTCACAATGTAAAGTTAAGTACCTTTATCTTACAAATCAATTCCCAGTGCCTCAGAAACCTATCAGCAGGTCCATGAATTTTCATATGAGGGGTGTAAGGTGTGTGTATAACTATGCAAAAACAAACTCAGAGAAAGACAAAGCCAGAAAAAAGTGATGTGATAATTCATTTGGGGTCAGTTCCCTTTTACAGCTGTGGGTTTAGTAGTTTAAATGATGCAGTAGGTTCACTTTAATTTTAGTCCTCCACTTCTCTAAAATAGGTTTTGGTTTTGTTACATTGAGCAGAGCCCCGACCTGGTCTTAGTTTCATTTCAGAACTAAATTAATTTAGTTTCTCGGATTTCGGATCCGAAATTCAATTCGGATTTTAGATCCGTCCAAACTTCAGTTTCGGAACAATCCGAATGTTTGTTTCGGATCTATTCAGATGGGGTTCTTTAGATCATTTGAGGGAGGGGGGAGGTTTGGTAATTTTAGTTCTGGCACCGTGTACTCTTGCTAATGCTCTTATCGACTCTCTCTACTCCACAACAGGAAGTCACATGACCGTACCTGTAATGCAACACCCAACGGCAAAAAGAACACATCTGATTGGCCACATAACAGTCATATGTCCAATTTAGTTTAGAACAAAATTTGGATGGATCCCAATTTTTTTTAAAAATACATTCGGATTCATTCTCGTTTGGATGCGTTTGAATTCGGAGGTATTCGAATATCCATGCAGAACGAAACGAAATGTCCATGTCTTTAATTTTTTACATGTACTAATATGTAAATAAATCTTGTTCTGGCCTGTTCCCCTATACGTTACTGAGATAACTTTTGCTATATGTGACTTACAGGTGTGTTACAAGTTGTAACTGAAGCATAACTCAATACTCACCACTCATACTCAAACGGACAGTAGGTCACTGTAATATAGAGTTTTAAAGCAAATACTAGCAGAAACATCTAAGACGATGTATTTATTATGCATGCATTTTTTAATACATAGATATACGATTTACTATATATTTCTTTGCATTTGATAAACTTTCTTCCTATGGTAGATAGAAAAAAGCATACAGAAGTCAGTACAGCTGCCTTTTTTTTTTCTTTCTTTTTAAATGCAAATACATTGAACTATTGCTACTAGCGACCAGATCCCAGCTGTAATTCCTCTAGGGCAAAATAAATAATGGATGCAAGCAAGTGATTGGTTGCTTTGAGACACATCCACACCCTCCTTTACTTCTGGTTTTAATACATGAAGCCTGTTTGTCTTGTTGATTATATTTGTAGCATAATATTAACTTTTTTTTTTATTTGTATATTTTAATCAGTGTTCACCTGGCAAGGAGACTCTTACAGCTAGAAAGACAGAATTCTTCATTGACAAAAGACCTAGAGCAACAGAAAGAGCAAACAGGAAAAGTTTCATTGGAGGTAGGTGAGCTCATCAAACCAAATAACCTTTTCAGTTACTTTGGAGTTACAATTTACAGTTTTTGCTGATGACATATTGTTGCATGCCTGTCTCAAATGTTTCAGTGTCTTCTGTTTGTAATGGAATATATTTTTGAGATCAAAAGAAATATTGCCCTCCAGGTATAGCTCATTTTTAGCATTTATAGAACAAAATGTGACTTGATTAACCAGTTGTGTAACTGTATTCAGTATTATAGTGCATAGGTGAGTTTTTGTGCCTATGTTCTAGCAATTGGTTTAGGTAATGAAAATATGAACTGAAAGGCACAAGATTTCTAGCTGTTGATAAAGAAATAAAAAAGGTGTTCAGTTTTCATAAGTTTTCATAATTTATTGACTCGCAACATTTAATCTCAGTGGGGTTATTCTAAACAACAGAAATAGACTTTCGTGTCGTAGTGTAATCAGCTGCAGTGTGATCTAAGTTATTGACAAACAACATCCACAAACACGCACAGAATACTTGCATAAGTATACACCCCCCTCTAATATGATAGACCTAAATCATCAGTGATGCCGCGAGTTCTTTTCTACCAGTGTGTAGTCAAGGGTTTGCAAGTTATTGTAGTATAAATATATGTGTAGCTTGAATATCCAGCTTCTAGCGAGTCTTTATGAACGCCCAAAAAAAAAAAAAACACCCCAGACAATTCTGTGAAAAGTTGATTGAAAAGTACAAGTCAGGGGAGTGATACAAGATAATTTCCAAGTCACTAAATCTTCCTTGGGGAGCTGTTAAATTAATAGTGATGGAATGGAAAGCATATAGTACAGCTGTAAATCTTCCTAAACAGGCCAACCATCAAGGTAAGTGACCTACTGCAAGGAGAAGATTATTGAGGGATACCATTCACACCTGCGCATTTACAGAAACGCGGAAAAAAGCATTCATTTCTAGTGGCACCCCAAACAGGCCAGGAAGACACACGTTTTTGCTCTGCATTTGCGCACTAAAATGCACACATGCAGATGCAAAACACGTGTTGCACAATCTGCTACATGAGCTTCTTTGCTGTGTATGTCACGCATGCAGGCTCCATTGAACTCAATGGGGACGAGCGGCAAACGTGATGCGCTTTCATGCAACACGCCAGTGTGAATGTGGGCTAAAGTAGTTGCAAGCCTTGTGCCTACAAATGTTGCTTGGGTGCTTTACCAGTCACAGTAGCAAAAAGAAAGCCGCTGTTAGCTAAAATTTGCATAACATCTCCTCTATGGTTTCACAGAAGGAGTATGGGAGACTCTAAAGTCAGATAGATGAAGGTTTTATGGTCTGACAAAACCATAATTGAGCTAACATTCCAAAACTGCCATCGTAAACACACCATTTCCATGATGGTGGCAGCATCATGGTTTGCTGTCTGTAGCAGGTGCTGGGAGGTTTGTTAGGGTAGAGGTTATAATGAATGAAGCAAGTACAGAAAAAAACAAGCCAAAAACCTGCAGTGTGCCTTTGCACAATAAAGCCAAGGCTGATAGAGACACATCCTCACAGACTCCAGTCTGTAATTGCCACTAAAGGGGCATCTACTACCGTGTTTCCCCGAAAGTAAGACCTACCCCGAAAATAAGACCTAGTGCTATCTTCGGGGATTTCTGTAATATAAGACCTACCCCGAAAATAAGACCTGGTTTGGGGTAGGTCTTATATTACAGACATCCCTGAAGATAGCGCTAGGTCTTACCTTCGGGGTAGCTGCCCATGTAACTAGATTTTACATGTGAAGACCGGCCGCAGCTCCCTCCCGCCCCCTCGCCCGCCCACCTACCCGCACGCCAACCTATCTGTTGCTCTCTGGATGGCATCAGAGCGGAGAGGCAGCTCCCTCCCGCCCCCCTGCCAGACACG